GGACATCTTGCACAGCCTTGATGCAAGGAGAGGGGCTTGGACCTGCCTCAGCTGAACATTCCAGGCTTAGCTGATGCCCCATGGGAGGCCTTAGCTTTTTGGAGGAGGTGATAGAGGGTGGATTGGACGAAAAGGCTTTGGCGGGGGAGCGGGAGAAGGCATGAGAGGAGTATTTGTGGTTGGTATGTAAAATAGATAACAATTTTCTTAATAAAAAAAAAAGAAAAAGAAACAAAAGCTGCATAACAAGGTGATCACTTACACAGAGACAGAAGCAGAAGGAAGGCCTGAATCTCAGGTTTAGAAGTTGGGAGACTGAGTTAAGGAAATAGAAAATTTTCAGTGACAGAGGAGGGGCCATAAAAGGTTTCTATGTTATTGAATTTGGCTCAAGGTGTGCCAGGAAATATGTTTATGAAGTCAGTGAAGAACTTCATGCTGAAGATAAAGTTCAGATTCATAACCATACTGTTCAGAATAAAAACCATAAAAAGTAGCAAGTCCAACTTAGGAGTAAAACCATAGAATTTTAAACCATGAGGTCAAAATTGAAATATTACATGCTGCTGTAGTTTATGATATGGCAACATAACATCCAATCCATCCAAAATTTTTTTTGAAATAAGGTTTCTCTGTGTGGATTTGAATCCTGTCTTGAAACTCACTCTGTAGCCCAGTCTGGCCTCTAACTCACAGAGATTCATCTGCCTCTGCTTCCCGAGTACTGGGATTAAAGGCATGCACCACCACCTGAATTCCATCCAAAATTTAAGGAAAATAAAGTTATTATTGTGAATGAGAAGAAATAACACAGCAATGAACCTGGAGAAAGAATAACCCTTTCTGTACCATTGTTAGCCCTGTACCATGAAAGGGGCTTGACCACTCCTACAAACCTATAAAAGTTGACTCTAAACAGATTAGGGGTAAATTATGTTGTGTGGCATGAATCCTGGACGTCATACATGCCAGGTCAGCACTCTAAACAGAGCTGCACCCCTAGCCCTTTGTAGTCTGTTCAGAGACAGAGTTCTGCTAAGTTTCCCACATTGGTCTCAAACTTATTATCCCCCCACCTCAGTCTCTTGAGCGGCAATTAAAGGCTCAGGACACTAAACCCAGATGGGCCTGCTTTTCAGAGCTTAAAATATCAAAATATTCAGAAAAAGCACAGATATGACTATTAACACATTTTGTAAAGCATATATATATGTGTGTGTGTGTGTGTGTGTGTGTGTGTGTGTGTGTGTGTGTATAATTCTAAAAACATAAGTAACAGACAATAACAAATAAGCCAGACCTCATTAGAAGAAGGATCATTGCAAAGCAAGCTGGCACATAACTATAATCACAGCACTTGGGAGGTAGAGA